CTTCATTTATCACCTATGAAGTCATCTGTAGTAGTTCGTCTACTTAAAGTAATCCAAGCAAAATTGTCAGAATTGTTTTCATCCACAAAATGGAGGTTCCACTGTCGAGAAGATGGTATGGTGCTCTTCAATGATGCTTTGGCTAACGTGAAAAATGTAAGAGTTCCTTTCATTGATAAAAAAAATTCAGCACCAGAATTCAATACTCACTACTAGTCTCTTATCAAGTGACTAGCATTGCATGCATCTTAGACATGTTACTCATGATTCTAACATTGTTTCGTTCTGCTATCACGCCAATTCTATCAAATGTTAATTGCTCTCCTCGGGACCGAGGCTTCCGCCACTTGAAGCTGTCTACTCGCAATTATTAGCAATACTGTCTATGACTATTCATTTTCTTCAGATGTTATCTTTGTGGAGCTCTGGTTCATTTTATAGTGCACTTCATTATGAACGGACATTAATTCAAACCTAAAGAATAATTATCATTATTATTTTATTACAGTAACAGCCTCTGCAGATATAAATATGCGCGATAACCAAGGTGCATACAGAAGAATGCGGGCGAATTACCGTCCAGCTGTTTCATCGAAATCGTGATGCATATTCTCTTCATGTTTAGTCGATCCGTAATATAGACATGTTGTCGGCCCTTCGTTTAATTATCATATTTACTGAACAGCTTTCCATTATATTGGAAGCCCATGCATATATTGAATTGTGGACCTGACTAGATCTTGGTAGGCCAAACAACCATGGTGTATTATTCCTTGAAAATACTTGTTATTATATCAGTCTCTTAAGTGGATATCTCGACTGCTCATTTTTTAACATCAGAAGGCAAGACACGGAAGTGAAGGTGTATGATCAACTAATGAAGCGGTTGTTTATTTATTTATATACACAATTTATATTCTTCTAACTAATCACTGAGCTTGTTATTTTTGTTTACATTAAACGACATGAAATAGAATGTTCAATTGTGTAGTATTCTGTTGCTAATGCAAACAACTACAATGCACTATTGAACTGTGTGTATAGTATTCTGTCTCTAACATCAACAACAACTACAATGCATTATCAAACTGTAGGTATATTATTCAGACGTTAACATCAACAAATGTAATAATTCTTACTGTGAGGGTAAAATTCCGTTGGAACACTCTGTCTGTATCACACCACCACAATTTAACATTCTTGTATATACCTTAGAAGTTTCGTTTAGCCGGTCATAATCAATATCCATGCTATCCATATTATCAGATTGAGAACTTAAATGTACATGAGAGAGCATTACTTGAGAAAGCATCAAACTTTAACATAACTCGAAAACCACTGAAAGTGATAGAAGAAGATGTATTAACCCTCTTACTTGATGATGAAGCTAATGAATTACGTCAGAAGGTTGGATGTATCCTGTCGAATCAAAAGCAGGTCATCCCAAATCCCTACAAAACCAATACTTGCAAATTAATCTGATGCTCACTAGTGACTGGCCCTATTCAGGCAGTTAACCTGGGGTTCTAGTGGGAAGCCGTGACCAGTAGGGTACAGCAGGTCGAAGATGAGGACAGTTACTCACGAAGAAGACATTGCGAAATGGTCGCGCTATGTCGTGAATTGGCAGAAGTTAGAATTCAAGGACCATTGGATCGTGTGCCAGTGGCTCAATGGTCTACGAGCTCGCCTCGTAACCAGAAGGTCCTGGGTTCGAATCCCGTTGGGCGCGTACTGCTGAAGAGTCCCAAACTAGGACGAGACAGCTGTCCAGTACTCCCAGCTGGTTTTCCAGTGGTTCTCTAACTGATGTCAGCTCATGATGAAACCCTCCATGCAATCATCCCAAATTTGTCGAAAAACGGACGTCATGCATTGCAAACATTAAGATCAAACAAATCTAGTATTATAACTAAAGCTGACAAAGGCAACATCATTGTGGTTCTTAATAAAGATGACTATGACAAGAAAGCTTTGGAACATATCGAAGCAGATCAATACGCACCAGTACCAATATATCAAAATGTCTAGTACTACGAGCAAAGTAAGAGCACAAATATGTAATATACTTAGAGAATTGAAACCAAAACTAGGGAATTCAGTTTGGTTTCCAGTAGCTCCCGAAAAAACAACACGGCCACAAGATTTTATGGAGGGCCGAAAATACACAGAATAAATGTTCCTTAAGGACCAATAATTGATCTCACCAATTCAGTGACATACACTTTGTTAAAACACATATCACGAATACTGAAACCACTTCGATATAATACTCCTTCGAACATTAAAAATATTGAGGAATTTAAAAGGAAAGTAATGGATATAGCTATTGAAGAGGATGAAATTATGGCAAGTTTCGATGTGGTTCCTCGATTTACTAGTATTCCTATATGTGATTCACTTGCTGTTATGAAATATGAACTTGAAAACAATCAGGAAGTATTAGCTAAATCTTCATTATCAATAGAAGAAGTTGTAAAATGCTTGAAACCTTGTTCAGAATCTACATATTTTACCTTTAAAGACAAACTATACTGTCAACAAATCTTGGTGGGTAGCCATTTTGTATGAAGATTTCCCTCAGGAAGTTTAATTCTTCTTCCATGGTGTCAGAGCTGCAGATGCGTCTGACGCGAGTGGCAAGGGATTTAATTAGGTTTCTTTTCCGACTGATTGGTACCCAGCTGTAGAAGCTTGTTAACTATACTGTCAAACAAATGGAGTTGCAATGGGTGCACCAGCATCTCCAATTGTAGTAAACCTGTATGTGAAAGCTCTAGAAAGAAAACCACTAACAAGTTACAGTTGTCATCCTAGAATATGGTTCAGATATGTAGATAACACATTTATCATCATAAAGAAAGCTGACAAAGAAAACATTCTAACAGAGATTAACTTAAGCTCAGAGTATATAGTGTTTACTAATGAAGTAGAATCGCCTGAGGCAGCTCTAAACATTCTTGATTGTCTTGTAAAAAGACAAACTGACGAGAAACTAAAGTTTTCGATATGCAGAAAGCCGATAAATTGCAACAAGTATTTGAATTTGCAATCAGATCATCCAACATGAATGAAAATTTCAGTAGCTTTAAATCTCGTAACAGAGCTAGAATCATTATAACGGATAATAATGATATGGAGAGCGAGATATCCATTATGAACCACATTTTGATTGGAAATGGTTATCCGGAAAAGGTACTAGATAATATTGTCAATGAAAAGGAGTATAAGGGAAAACAGAAAATTGAAAAATCTTGGCTATCGACAATAGCCATTCCATATCGAAAGCACACAGCTGAACAACTTCAAAGACTATTTGCTTCATATGACATTAAAGTCTTTTTCAAGCCAAGTCAAGACACTAGTAACTAGTGTCCATTTTGGTAAAAATGCCTATGGACAAGTGACCGTCAAATAAATTGACTTCAATTTATGTAAAAATTCTTTGACCATATATTTTGATGATTGATAAAAATCCGAATAAATCTGCTGAAGAGGCTTTGGCTTACACACCGAAACGTTCAGAAAAATCTTGTTCTGATTTTTTCTTAAACACGCTGGGATTAATTCTAATAATTTATAATCCGTATTTTCACTTTCGATTTTCCACATAATGGCAACCTACTTATCCCGTCCGATTAATTGCATCAGATTACATATACTGTTTGATACTTGTGGCATAATTAATGCTCGTGTTACTGTTCGGCCTAACGGTTGATTAGCATAGCACAAGAACCTGATAATTTCATCTACTGGAAACAGAGTATTTTTGTTTTTTGATAAAAACAGTCAGTCTAGGACAGGAGTACTTCTAGTAAAATAGTGTTCTCAATAACTCCTACTTCAAGCCTATGACTGACAATCTCAAGTATTGTTAGAACAATATAGTCAGTAAAGACAAACTAAAATCACGTGAGAAACTGACTTGTGATACAAGAACATAATGGAATAATGGTGAGTTATTGTGGCATTATTTTTAATTTATTCCTTTGCATTTCGAGGATAACGTAGGGCTTGAAGCTTACCCTTTGAATTTTCAGTGGCAGTGGTATTTCTCATTACAGTGTGAGATTGCTAACTTCGTCCCTAACCTTACCCATTTACTCGGATTACTACAGGCTAAGCGAGATTCAAGATGTCGTCAGTCTGTGAATGAATCCCGGACAAAGTGAATGGTTGACAGGCATTCTACCGCGGACTACCAACGAGGGTGAACAAGTGGATTTGACATGTTCGTGAACTAATAGTCGTCAAAAGTAAAGATTTCGAGGTAGTCTTCGTCATGAACTCATAATAGTCAATATTTGACTACCATCCAGGGATTCTCATTCTATCTCTCAGTCAATGCAAATTGCAGAACGTAGATTTCGCTGCCTATAACAGGACAGAATGTACCACTAATTGATATAAGTAGTTGAGAAGCATTCACGTCAAACAGTAGTGCTCGCTAGCCGATGTTTATATCACATCAATCTGAGTGGTTTCTTAATTGACAGTTATGCAATCAGTCATATTTGTGAGTCATCGAGCTTCGAAGGGAATAATGGGGAATTTCCAACTCAAAATAAGTTATCTGAAATCGTAGTGAGTTATCCTACTCAGAAAACGCGAAATCCCCGAAAATATCCATCCGACCAACTTCCTTCACCACAATTGAAAGTAAATGGCATGTTTTCAGGCTGCTCGGAAGACACAGGATTATGGGAGATCTAGTATTTGAACACATTTATTCTAATGTTTTTGAACACGCCGGTTAACTTCAGTCTTCACCAACCTATGAAACACGGACACTTTCGTCTCCTAACTGAAAATGTCTTTTCATTGTAAAGCATTGCGACAGTATTCAGAATAAGAAGTGTTTATTTAATAGAAACATTATTATTAATGAAAATAAAAATTAAGTAAAATCAAAGACCAGTATATCTTGAAACAAAAGTAAAACTACTAGGCTGCATATTTTATCTGCCTTCCTCGTTACCTTCAATTTATCATTCCGACGCTTAGAATGCAGTTGCTGGCCTTTCCGATAAATACTTAGCCAATTTCGGTGAAATTTTCAGGAGATTCTCTCGATGTTTATGGATCTCAGGATATTTACCGTCCATGAATCCTTTGTCCAAGTCAGTCACGTGGTCGATGGCTGCAATCAATACCAAATCAGCCAAAGTCACATGGTCACCCACAGCTAATTTGCCTTTCGATTCCTTCAGGGATTCACAGATTGCCTAGAATGAATGTGAAATGAAATAGAAGAACAACCCTTAGGTAATAAATAGGGTTTCAAAAATCACCAGTGTTGTCAATCACTTCGGACGCGAGAAGAGAACAAACTGGTGAATTCTTTCAGTTTAAGACAAACGGTTTAACAAAATTTGAATCTATGCACCAAGAAAGCAGCCGTTCATACGAGAAACGCATTCCCCTATAGGACTGTTGACTAAATTAGCATGTATTTCAACAGTATGTTCTTTGACATCCGAATCTTAATATTCTGAATACTCTAATAAATAAGAAGCTGTACTAAATGAACGACATTTTTACACTATTACTTGTGAATAGGGGAAGATATTTAGTGCAGTACTAGTTGAAGCACAAATTGACTAACCACCATGTATGAAGAAGTAGGATGTAATCTTTAATTCGACAACTTATGCATATGCATACACTATTAGGATATATTGAGCTAAGTTGCATCAAGAGGTATACATACTACACGCACATTTAGTTGTGTGCTCAATTTTTACTCTGATTCTTAAATGATGTGAGGACAGACAACCACACCTTAACACACATTGGGAAATCTAGTACATGTTCAGACCAAGTTCACTTTTAATAGTTTGAAAGAATTTGGGTATTGGGTATATGCTACTCATTATAATAAAGGTGTTTTGTATTTCCCAATGTCGTTTTGTTTTTCATTCATTGGGAAATACAAACAACTAGTACTTCTTAGCTTATGTTTAAATCATCCCAAACAATCTAGCCGACAAGGATTTAACCAAGAAGGATGACTTGATTAATTGCATGAACAAACTGAAAGCTAACTTCTTTCGGTGACCATCAGTCATGTGTATTCTACTGAATACACGATTTCTCTGAAACTAAATTTCTCTATTGAGAAGTGGTAGCACTACTCTTCATCTAGAAAAGTAGTGAATGAAAGTAGCTCATGAAATCCTGGAAATATACTTCGTAATCATCATTAGTGATTGTTTGCGAGAACAAATTCATACTACTGTGGAGCCATAAATCAAAAGACATTTGACAACTAACTTCCTACATGAAACCTGTTTGCACACCAGTGTTTTCATTCAGTCATTTTTACTCAATACCAAAAAAACTTTACAAATCTCAAGCCAACTCACATTTAGAAGAGTGGGAACTTTTCCACTAAATATCTCCTTGATGATTTTTATTTTCTCATCTTCTGGTTTCATCAAGGTCTTGTAATATTCACTTTCAACATCTTGCACCTGCATATGATGGAAAGAATTTCGTTAGACAGGAGCTTATGATGAGGTATTTAAACAATCGGATAGATAGTTGAGTATCGCTCTGAGCTGCAGTGCCATGGCTACTGATTATCAATTCACTATTCGTTCCTTTCAGCTTCTGAAGCCCATCTGCATCAGTGGTTGGGAATCACGTTAAGTATTCCACTCTCGACAATTCACAATCATAAGCGTCAAAAACACAAGGATAACAGAGTTTCGTAAGCTGGAAGATAACTTTTCCGAAACTCATTGAATATGCTGACTCTAAACCCTACATCTGTGTCGTACGAAGGTTTTAATCAAATGATGACGTGAATCAGTAGTCTGGAATTTAAATGATGTTGAATTACTTTGCATAGTGAACTGTACATTTAGATGAGTTCAGCCTGCTGCAATGAATCGATCGATGATTTCCGAAAATACATGAAATATAAATACAAAAATGAATTCCACTGGGAAACCTTATCCATATCATGAAACCAAGCTACTAGCTAAATTAGGTTTGAAAATTGGTAATGCTACTTTGCTTGTCAGTTCGTTAAGAGGCAAAGTCGATTTACCCTGGTACTTCATAATTCAGTAATCGATATAATGTTCCACACTACTGAAGTTCACTTGAAAATAACACCACATCTTATTTTAATAACTGAATTAACATAAAGCAAACTAATATTTTGTTGACAACAAACATCTTCATTCTGCTGTCAATGTAGTCAGTAATGGGTTTACTAAAGGAAACTGACGACGGTCTACTATTTTCCTAGCTGGTCTTAAGCCCGACAGAGAGAGGAGGGTGAGAGTGCCACTAGCGATCCTAGAGCAGATTTCTAAAGGCAGAAAGAAATTCTAGACTCACCTGACCGATTAACTTCTCAACACTATAGTACTCGTCATCCGTGCTACCCATCATACCATTCTTCTTCGCAAAGAAACGTGCAATGGCCAAACTCTCTGACAACCATTTCTCTTTCCCATCTTTCTCAGTGATCTTCACTACAGGCAGACGGCCTCCAGGTATCGACGGCTTCATCTTAGGCCAGTTTTCAAATGATATCCTTTCGTCTTCAAACTCGATTCCAGCCGCTACAAAAACCATTCGAATTGCTTCTCCACGTGCACGTGCATTAAAATAAAACAGCTGGAAGTAGCAAAAATAATATTAGTTCCCAATCATGAATATCTCATAAAAGTCACTTTGATGGAAACACAATACTAATGTTTGTCAATATTTCTAAGGCTGTTTATTGATCTTGAACATGGTGAAGGTGATTCTGACTCATCTTAATCATAATGATTGGACACTAGGACAGTATTCATGCACTACACTGTGAACCAAGCTTCATGTGATGACTCACAAAGCAAACATACCAGTGTGCATAGAAGTGCATGTTTGCTGATGCTGCAAACGGTATGAGATTTGATTGAAGAACAACTGACTGTCAATTGAATCAGCCTTACATCAAACACAAAACAGTTAGGCGTCACTCGGCTTTATGCCCATTTTGTGCATTCGATACATAGATATCAGTATATGTCTAGAATTCAACAAGTTAGTAGACATTATACAATCCAATCATAAACTCGTTACAGTACTGAGAAAAAATGATCTCATATGATTTATATATTGAGGTCACTATTCCTGTGGACTTATAATCTATTCTTATACTCATATCCTATTTCTATTGTTGTTACTGTGAATGTCAAAATTATTCCGTAATTATTTCTCCCCACGCTGCGTCATGTGAAGAGGAAATCAGACACAATATTGTATTATATGCTGAGAGATCTAAGGAATAAGGATACCACTATTATTATTTTCATTATCATTATTGTAAATATGCAGGCGCTGACTGAAACTGAATCACTAAAAAATTATTCAACATAATCCCAGTATTATAACAATAATACTTTGATAAAGCTAATAACATTAAATAGCGAGACGTCAGTAAAAAAAACAATATCGTTTTGTTTTTCATTCATTGGGAAATACAAAAACCTTTATTATTATCCCAGTATCTGCAGACTGTTGAAGTCTTATTTTCATTTTCTCAATACGTTGTGATTATTTCAAGTAATGTTATGATAGTGATAATAGTGATTATTTTAGTTGTTAACTGTAGGTAGCTTCACTAAATAGAACAAACACGGGGTGACGAATAAGCAGTTGGTCATAAAGCTACAAGGCTTGTTTCGAGAAATGTCTGCACAGAATTATTTACACTTACACAGGTAATCACTAATTGGAACAGACGCTACTCATATTCAAAGTGGTACAGACATTTCGCAGTGATGGAATATGTCTAACTTGAATATTAACGCTAGGTGACTTTATACGTCCAAGGGAAATATAATAACTACTGAGTGAAACCAACCAAGTATATGATTTTAAGACAATCAATAAAGTAGCTTACTTTAACAAGTTCTTTAGCCATATTGTTCACAGTCGGAAGGTATCCAAAAGTAATTTAGTTTAAAGAATACGCTTTAAATAGTCATGCATAGATTACTTCACTCACGATAATACGCCTAGTATAGTTTCATTTTAATTCGTGGACCAATCATTGACGGCCTTTTCCTTTGTGAACTGTTGACCAATGGAATTGAGACGAAGCGTTTTAGGCTTACGGGGCCTGAATTATCTTAAGGTCGTGCAACAAATATCTGTTTCCTGATTGGCGCATACCACCACTCAATATTTGTGTGGATGAATTCAGGGTCATTCTTCTGGTGAAAATGAAAGTAGTCCAGAGAATGAATGGATTAGAAACGACCAGTGAACATTTGAATGTAACGCACTGGTTGTACTCATTCAGTGGGTTAAACCGAATCTGCAGCTTTATTCTATACTACGGTTTAATTGTCTTAATTATTATGATTATTGCTGTCAATTTAATTTACACACAGTGTCGGTGTAAGTACCATTTTAGTGCCCTGCTTCACCCTGTACAGCGACCTTTATATCAGGAAAATGATATACTTTGTTTATTTCTATTCCTACTATACGAAGTTCATAGTTGATTGGAAAGCATAATGTAATCCAGTGAACAGAACAGGATGACCGACTTTCAAATGAAAGTTTGTGTACTGAGAAGGTGGGTGAAGTATGATGGCGAAAGTTTTTCGAGGCACACTGTTTCTGTAGTTCATCAGGTGCGCCGTTGAGACCCTCATTTTCATTTCTCCCACTACCATGGTCTTCACTCCATCCTCATTAGTCATCACCATTTGGATTATTATCAGGCTGTCAATCCAAGGATATCTCGTATAATCCCACGAACAAATACGATATTCACAGAAGTATGAAAGCAATCTAGACACAACTGCGTAGAACCACATTCATAGTGATTCTGTTGTATTGACTTAATGGCTGCAACCATTTTAAGGGATGAGTTGTAGTCTGTGTACTACAAATTAGTAAATAAATAAAAGAATGGAATATTGGGTATGTGAACTGAAGAGAAAAATAAAGATAATATTGAGGAAGTAATAATGTTGTGGTGCAAACACAGTGATGAAATTAGAGAAAGATTACCAGGTAGTGAGGAACTTGATATGATGGCAAGTGAAGGGCAGTGTAAATACGACAAAAAAGTGATAAGTATTATATAAACGTGGGGTAATAGACTTAATAAGAAAACTCACGAAATCGCAAACGTCTGGAATTAAGGAAGGTTTGTTGATGAAACCAGGGAACTGATGAATCTGTTGTTTTACAAACAAAACATTCAACTGAGTTATTTCATCCCATCTCATGTTCTCATTTGGCAATTATTTCGAGTGCGCTCAAACGATTACCGAAAATAACTGACTATTATTCTGGATTTATGACTGTAGAGTCTGGAGAAGATTTTATTAAAAACAGCAGTTTATTCTGTATATTGTTCTTCTCAATAAACTGTGGAGATATTTAAAATTACTAATACTTCCTCTAGTGTACCAGCAGAAAGGTTTACTAAATGTATTGACTTTAGGGATTAGATGCTACAATTGAGCTGATGTAATATCAGTTTGTGACCGGAAAATGTCTACTGCATAACCGTCCAGATAAGAATCGGCAGTACTTTCACACAACCATACATCATCTCACACTTTATTCTCAATCTACCATTTGGTCAATATTTTATTAAAGAAGTTTGTTAATCAAACATGACGGTTTACTGATACTGATGGAATTAAAAGAGGCATTGCGAACTGTTGCGAGAGGATATCATCTTGTGGTTTCTCTGCAATCGCCTTCCAACTAACTTGGTTGACATTATACGAACTGTGATCAAGATTTGACCCAATAGTTGCAGTAAAATTGGGTGCCGCGTGAAAATTAGACGTATGCAGAGATTATATTTGTATAAATGTCAGCAAAATGGAAATAAATAATTCCAGTGTTTCGTCGACAATAAATTGTCTGACAACTGATCAGTTACATGGGATAACAGTGCACGTTAATAATTAATCCTGTATCAGTAGGCCAAGTAGTCCATGATAGGCAAATATTGAAATCAATCTTTTAAAGTATACATAGTTTGAAATGAATGTGAGCCATTCAAGGCGATTTTGTCGCCCTTAATAACACTGGCCAAAAATATGTGAATTAATTAGGAAGTAGTCACCAATATTGATTTTCTGAGCAGACATTAATATTTTTTTATGATAGGTGTTGTTGGATTTCTGTTCAGATTGATTGGATTCGCTCTAGGAGCATGATCTTTCTGGTGACATTGGTTCTACCGATATCTGTGTCCTTGAGAATGTACATCAAGCTGTAAGTATTGTGTGATGTAGAATGTGCAGGATTTCATCCATTAGTCGTGCGCACAGGAAGTGAGCTTAATGCAAATGTGTCTGTGAAGACTGTGAAGATGAAATAAATCATCAACTAGCAAGTCAATAATAGTCAATCAATCCAGTGTATATCTCAAATGTTCTCACCGAAATTGACTATTATTTCTTCGCCGTCAACTCATCGTTTTATTTTAACTCTGTATTTGTGCATTTAGTGAATTAACCTAGTAAAGTGTGTGTGTCGTTTCTGTCTTAATTTCATGAGAATCAGGTAGATGAATATCACTCAACATCGAATGACTGAAATTAATTGTTTCATTTAATGAAATGTTCATTCACATTAGTGTCATTTTAAATGTGACTTATTCTATATTTTAAAGGTTAAAGAAGCTGTACTCATACTGTGTAATTGTATTCGTAGCTACTGCCAGTAAATTGTCATTTTTCATTCAAGCATGAACACAATGAGACTACTTGAACACCACTGACTGGTATAAGAGAAGACATACAAACAAATTGAACTGATACATAAATAAGAAGAAGAAGACTTTAGAATGTACAACTAAAAGAGAAAAACCTAACTGAGAAGGTTGTTGAATATTACATATTAATAAATTAAATGTTGAATAGTAGATGAATGAATATTCAACAGGTGTAGTATAGATAGATAGGTGAACAAGGTGAACATGATTTCGCATATTCAGTTATTCTTTGTAGAATAATCTTGCGACTTAGCACATTGGTGCAGGTGTGTGAAGTGGGTTGATTAGTTGTCCCAGTATGAAACTCTCAGGCAGTTTCAAGGTGTGCATCAGCTGACAGGACTGACATGCTGCAGACAGATATTTTTCGACAGTTAGTATCGTGTCCGTAACATCATGACGCGTTTTGGTGAATATCATCAGCTTTAGATGGTACAATATGATAATATATCTAGTGACTTGGATCCCAGTAGACAGTAAAATTACACTGGTTATGAATCACCACTGTCATTTAACCTCGAGATGGATTTCTGAATGGAAAGTTGTAATCAGTGTCAAATTAATGAAGGCTTGGGAGGCTGAATAACCTTACTGACCCAAGTAGATAGAATAATGTAACGTATAATAACCTTCCATTGACTTTGAGATCAGCTTAGGCATTTAGCCTAGTGTAGAATGTTGGATCGCAGAAAGTTGAATAGCTACAAGAAAATCCATGGAATTCCAATGCATGCTCTAAAATAACTATGCAGTAGTGTAAGAAATAGCTACAGCTCTTGAAAGCAATGTATATGGATGGGAGAAGAAGTCAACCGCAAAATCTTCCTTCATCGTGTCTACACCTTACACTTGCAACCTTAATGATGCAAGGCCGATACCAAAGAAGCGGAAAATGTTACTACCAATAAAATCAAAGGAAAGGAAATAATGGAATTTATATCAGTGTCGTGATATGATTGTGAGCACTGAATTATTCTCGGAATGTCAGAAGTGAATAATGCAGTATTTTCGTCAAGTAAAATTATCCTTCGATTGCACTAAGCTCTGCCAGTAAGCCTAAATTCTATTCTTATTTCAGTGGAATTTCGAATCCACTTTAAATATTGACGACTTTGTCCAGTTTTCATAGGAATCAGTGATTTATGATTCACTATAATTTGAATTAAATTCAGTTTAGCGCCTTGTCTAGACTCCAGTCAGCATTTCCCTACCCATATGACTCTTAAGGGCAATTTACGCCTCTCGGCTTTTCAGCGTAATTTGAACAGATTGTCATCATAATTCTAAATATTGTGCTGCACTACTTACTGCTGTTTGAGTAGTATTTTAGACTATAAGGTAAAGTGGGACTGTCTAGGCATATTTTTACTGTCAGTTAACACAGATATGGTAGACAATTATAATCGTAGGAACCTGAAGAGAATAATTTGAAAAGAATATTCTTTGTGTTCAGATTGATTTTTAATTCACAGGATTAGTGACATAATTATGGAGAGTGAGAGAGAGACGCTGATCCGTCACTTACTGATTTGAATTTTCGATAGACTTATTTCTAACGAACTGTTACTGATTTGTCTAAATTGACTAGAATGCTCCTCTAGACACCAACAGTATAACCAACAGTTCCCCTGAAAAAATTCCCCGCACAATTGTCAGATTTAATAGCTACAGCAACAATAAGAGAGAGAACCGTTTTATTATTCTTTTATTATTCACTTACCGTTCGCAGAAATTTAAGCTATGATTAAATAATCAATTTCTGGTGGATTGTGTGACCCTGACAATCTTCCAGAGTGAACTAACCAAATCTGTTCAATCATGTTATCATATCTGTGGGTGCATCAGTTATGACTTATGCCTAACAACGATAGGCTACTCGTTTTAGCAACCAGCAATATTGGCGAACAGCAGATGAGCAATTTTGTCCATGCCAAAATATTATTAACTATCAGACAATGAACAAAAAAAGAAGAAACATTGGCGCAGAATAATCTGGATCCATTTTATTTCGCCGGTTCTCATCAGCTGCGTACAACCTGAATTCTTTAATAAAATAAAAAGTGTACAGTCTTAACAAACTTTTTTCCATAAGCAAGCGTATCATCAGAGTGTCACAGTGAAATAAGGCATTGCGATTTACAAGGTGTCTAAATTGTTACGACATATATATA